CTCCCCTCAGCAGTGTACTTTGTCCATCTGCCTGTTCTGCTTCCCACTTTGTCTCTGGTGAATCTTCTCACCTACCCACCTTTGGCCTGTACCCCAGTTCTGTAAGCATAAATAAATAAATCTTTTAAAGAAAAACATTTTGTAATGATAGGAACACAAGTTATTACTAACAACAATAATAATTTAGTTTAGGATACACTGATTAATTAACTTGTGCCAAGAAATAATGTAACTGTGCCACCACAGATTTGTACCAAAATAATGATTCCTACTCTTGAGGAATACACAGGAAACCTGCATATCTATGTGATACCCTAAGTGACTGACCAGGGACTAAGGCTCTTGTGTCACCTACTAGTTTGTTAGCAAATGACTAAGCCACTAGAAGTCTATGTCTGTATGTTTAAAATGAGAAAATCTGATGAAAGGAATTCTAAAGGCCTCTTCTAGTTCTACCATTCTAGGATTTATTTTATTATTTAAAATTAAGAACCCACATACTCTGTAACATATTCACATGGTTTAGGAGTTGAAAATTTCTTAATGTGGGATCACTGGTCCAACCCTCCCATTTTTGAGATAAGGAGTCACCTTGAGTTCATGTTCTCAATTTTGGCACTCTTTCTTATCAATATCATTCAAAACTTGCTGATCATTCCTTCATGCATACACACTGAAGTCTTGGCACCTGGCTCTGATTTTCTTCTCTATCTTATATCTAGACATACTTTGAGACAATTTCAATATCCAATATTGAATATTCAATCCTTGTGTAGTCTTAACTTCTTCAACTTTACTCCACTTCACTTTTGCTTCGACCATGGTCAACCTCTGGACATCACCTCACTCCACAGAATTCCACCCCAGACATAGCCAGCTCTCTGATCCTGAGCCCGGTAGCCTGCAGTCTCTCTCTCCCCACTTGTACTCATCTCATCTCCTCCAGGGGTGCCCTTGAGCCCTTCTTTCCCTTGCAGCCATTCAGTCCCCAGCAGGTCTTGTCTCCCCATTTGTGTTAGCTTGGAGGACTACCATTTCCTGCACCCCTAATGTTTCTTCCCATTAGCATGGCAAAAACCCAGGTCTCTACCTTGTCCACACTTTGCCTTATTCTCTCTTATACCTGGCTGCTAAGCCTTGCTAAGAAAATCACTCTTGAAGAAAGAGAAAAACAAACATAATTGAATAAAAAAAATGAACAACTATAAACCAGATTTTATGGGGGTGGAGAGGGGAATAGGATCAGAAATGGGGTGGGCAAAGTGCACTGGACTGTGATGATGGCACACGGGTGAATTGGTGGTGGGAAGCCCATGGGGGTTACAACTGAGATGAAAAAAATGCACAAAATGAAGAATGATGTAAAAAATAAAAATAAAAATATATAACAAAAAAAATAAAAGAAAATCATTCTACCACATACTTTGGTACTCAGAGTCATGAGATCCTTAACAAATGCTTTACCCATCTACCCTCAGTTACAGTTCTGAATATTCACTGCTCTCATCTTGTTCCCAAGTTGAGCCTCACAGTCTTCATATGACAGACTCACTAGGGATGGACTTGAGTAGCCCGTTCTTTTTCTTACTTCAAGCTTAACTCTATCTATGCTTTTCCATGCTCCTTTCTACTTTCAGGGACTGAGGCTGTCCTCCCATCTTATGCTTTGAATTCTGTATGTTGTTTTCCAAAAACTATTTTTAATTTACTCGTTCTCTATTTCTCCCTACCCCACATCCCATACCTTCAAATTCTCTCTCTTCTCAGTCATCCCCCTTTCCCTCCTAAGGGGATCACATCCCTCATGTTAATATCAAAGACAAACTAAAATAAAACTCTTTCTTCCCTTGTTTGGCCATTCCGCAAATATTGACTGAACAATTTCTATGTGCCACACACAGATCCAGTTGATGCACTGTCAGAATGAAGAAGACAGATGTCCTACTCTCAAGGAACTAAAAGTCTGGGGGAAGAAGCAGACAATAAGCAGCTATGTGCAATGTTGGCAATGGCTCTGGCAGGGCAACCATATGCTCCATGGCAGCATACAAGAGGCTTGAAGGCTAGGAACAAGAAACCCAAAGAAATTTCACAGATGTGCTGTCTGCCTATGTCCTACTTCTCTCCTTCTACTCTCACTGGAGCTCCCTGAAAAAGTAGCCTTTGATTTGCCCCCATTTCCCCACCTTCCACTCACCCTCAAACCTCTGCACTATAATTTCCCCTCCCTGACTCCACTGACATCAACACCCAACACCAATCCAGTCACTGGCATGCTGGCTGCACATGGCCAATACCAAAGCATCATATTCAATTCTTTTCCCTCATATTCTCTACCTAACACTGTTGTTATAAACTTCTGGAAACTCTACTCCCCTTGTGACTGCTCTCTTCTCTGACCAGTTCTAAACGCTCATCTCCCTGACCATGTCTTCAAAACCTTCTTATAATCCCTCTCTTATGCCCATGTAGACTCTGTTCCCCATATTTCAGCCTTATTCTTTTTCTCACCCTATTTCTTTGGGTGAACTCATTAATTTTAAAGATTTGCACTACAATCTGTCTGCTAATGATATCAATATTATATATCCCAGTGTTCTCCTCAGAGATGTCAACTCATATATCCAGCTGTCTTTTTTGACGTATCCAGCCGACTCTTCTATGGATGCCACAAACTCATTGTGCTCCAAACTGAAATCATCACTTCCCTCCCATATGGGGTTCTTTCTTCTATATTTTCTTTATTAGTGATGGCTCAACTAACTAGCCACAGCCATAAACATAGGAACCACCTCTTATTTGCCTCCCTCCCCTCTAAAGTTATCCCTTAAATAGTATCTCTTAAATGTGAACCTGCCCTTTCTATTTGCTCCTGACACTACCAGTGCTGTGACACAGGTAATCAGACCTTCCTCTGGCCTCTTCATTTCTAATAATATGCATTAATTATAAAAAAAAATAATTATCTATTTAAAAGAAATTGGCTATTCTATCCATACACCTAAAACTTTTACTAGCATCCTTTCATCTTAAAATAAAATTCTAAGCTCAGTATTACAGCATACAAGGTTCTCCATAAGCTTGAACTTAATGGTTCTCTAGATTCATCATTCAGTCACACAATCAAAATATATCTATTAAGTGCCTACTATTGCAAATGCTAAAGATATGCAGTGAATAAAAGAAATATCAGAGTATGCCAGATAGCACTTAGTGACAAAAAGTAAAATAAAGTGTGGATGAGGGACAGTATGGGGTAGAGATTTGGAATTTTAAATCAAATGACATTCAAGCAAGGCAAAGGAAGTAAAGGATATCTCTATACAACTATGATGAGAGAGAGAGGCTCACACAATTTCAGCAAGAACGATAAAATGAAAAGCCGTATGGGAGAATATTCCTGGAACATCCAGGGAATAGCAACAGGTTTGATGTCTGAAGCAGACTGAACGAGAGAGAGAACAGTCAACTAATTAGAGGGGTATAAGACTACTTTACAGGGCATTGTGAGGGGTTACTATGAGAAAAGGTGCCACTGGAAGTCACTAGAGGCTTTTCAGGAAGGAAGTAAAACGATCGCACTTAAATTTTAATAAGATTATCCTGGCTGCTATCTCAAGAGTGCAGTGAAAAAGGCAAGTACAAAAACAGTGAAACAAATGAAGACGCTACTGAGAGAACGCAGCAAAGAATGAAATGGGTGGAACTGGAATGAAAGTAGAGAAGTAGGTTTGGAATGTACTGAAGGAGGAGCTGAGGGATTTGCTAATGTCCTAGAAGGGAAAAGGAGTCAAGGATGACTATTTTTTCTGGTCTGTGGAACTGGGAGAAGGGACTTGCTGTTTATATAGATTAAGAAAAAAAAAATAGAAGAGGAAATTAGGAAGGGACACAGTCATGTCTGGTATAGAAAAGAGTCAGAAATATCCTCTGGATAGGACCAGATAGAAATATCTGACAGTAATATTTTAGCCATTGAGGGCCATTTATGATCTACATCAAACCATGAAATTCCATTGCAGTATGAAAGCAACCAGAGATGATGCGTGAATGAATCTGTATCCTGTACTTCCACGCTCATTTTTATAACACTGATATTTGATTTCCTGGAACATTTTTTTCTGTTTACTTTTCAATCATTAAACATGTAAAAAGCATCTTTGCTTATTATATAAAAACAGTTAGCCAGAATTAGTCTGCTGATTCCTGATACAGAAGATATTTAAATCTGGGCAACACAATCTATGTCTTTTAGCATGAATTCCCAGCTTCTTTCATGATAGCACAGTCAATCATATGAAGGAAAGAAGTCTCATCTTCAGGGACTTTACACAGCCAGTTTAACTTCTGACCTGACTTGCTCAGCAGCTAGAGATCTTTCAGGGATATTTTCCCCATAAAATGGGAAGCCCTATGATATGCAAAAAAAAAAAAAAAAAGATCAAATTTATCAAAACTTGGTGTTCACCCAACTTTTCAGAAGTACACCCATGCAAAAATTGAAGACAACCTTAAAGGGATCAGAACTTTTGGTCCAATGTTAAACAAAAACGTATTAGCATTAGATGGCATACAGACTCAAGATTAATTATTATTGGGGGGAGGAGGGGACTGAAAAAATAAACCAAGTGAGTGAAATTAACAGGATACTTTTAATTGGTATTCTCTAAGGAGTTTCAACTGTTCCTATTTGAAGCTTAAACTTTTTTCTTAAAGGTTCATTTTTAAAAGAAAAGGGTCAGCACCTGGGGGGAAAAAAATGTTTGAACAAAATAGTAGTGCAGTCAGAAAATTTATAACAAAGGAAAGAGTAGGAAATATTCCTTAATGAACACCTGGTCACCTACAAGATGTCCTGAGTCAAAATCTTTCCTATGAACTGAGGAAACTCAGTGCCAGCACAATAATACAAACAGCGGCAGGATAAATAAATGTTTTCAGAAAATCATCTTTAAGAAGTCAGTCCTCACTTGCAATCCATTCAATGGCTTGTCAATATCATGGTTAGTTCAGTAGCCTTCACAACTCTCAGACCCACGTAATATATCTAGGCAGCAGTTTATTAACTGTATAATCATAGTTAAGTTGCTTTAAAGTCTCTAGGCTTCTCTTTCTTCATCTATAAAGTGGAGATAAAGACACCTATCACACATAATATTAAATGGGGTAACCTTTGTTAACATTTACCTGGTGTCTGGTCCACAGTAAATGTTCAGTAAATAGAAATCAAGATATTCTTAAATAAGATATATTAAAATTCCCTCTCACACTTCATGAAGCTTCCAATTGGGTTTGGGATAAATGTCAAAACTAGATGATTCAAAAGATGCAAAACTCTATCCTTCACTGATATTACCAATAGATTTGGGCTATAATTAGGATACTATACCTTCTCAAAGGCACACTGAGGGTTTCTGCAAACAGCAGGTTTGCAGATAACAATATCACCATGGCAACGACAGTTCTGGCATGAATCGGGCTTCCAAACTGTGGCATCCTGCAAAGAAGCATAAGCTGGGAGTTAAGAACTGATCAGTTAAGGCATGAACACACAAAAGCAGCACTGTGAATGGCCCCACTGCCTGAACAATTAAAAGGCAAAGGGAAGTCACAGTTACACACAGTGCTTGCTGGTCACTCATTAAACCTCACGAGGCAATAAAAACAGTATAATCCATTTCACGACAGTCAACCCACGTAGTCAAAGACAAGGGCATGCAACAGAGAACTGTCGATACAGAGCAAAAATTCATTGATTGTCCTGAAATCTCAGGAGGACAACTTCTCCCTGACTTGAAGTTTCTTTTGGCTGTTAACTAGCAGAAACCATCACAGCATATTTCAAAGAAAATGATGCTGAACTTGCAGTAACTGGTATTCTAAAATCGCTATCCGCACCTTCCCTTCCATTTCTAGCTCTTTGTTGTTTACATACTTGAATGCTCATCAGAAACAAGAGGATATAAGTAGTTTGATATATTTATCATAGCAAATGAACATATCTGACGGTTATTGTGTGTCCAGCTGGGTACTAGTCTCACTGGAGTCAAATGAACCATAAATGGAGGCACCATCTGTAAGGATTTCACAAATTATTTTATCCTGAACACCAGGGTACTAAATAACATAAACAGATATTATGTTAGTTCTCCACAAATTAGAAAGTTATAGTCATAAACAGAAATCCAGTGAAATTGGGCCCAGTGTAGAAAGGTTATAGACATTTTTCCTACTTCCCATGCTCCATCATACTGAAGCCATATTTCAATTATGCCCATTTGGAAGTAACTTTGAATCCAATTGTCACATAAATCCCAGTTTCTGTCCTGTGAAAGGTTGCTCTGATGACTTTGAGTTGAAGCAGTAAATTAAATCGGTAAAGTAAAACTAAAGGCACACTAATGTATAGATACCATTTTTCCCAGAGATTTCCCAAACCAAAATTCCTATTTAATAAGAGTAGGAAAGAGCCATACTGTTTGTGTTTTAAACACCAAACTTCCTTTAAAAGAATTAGCCGTGTTATTCTCTGGTCTAAACTGCAGCCCACCTTTCCTACTGACAAGCTAAAGTGCAGACCCCATAATCTGGCACTCCTCTCTCTCCCCGACCTTGACAAATCTCTTAGTCTGAAGACTCACTCCTGTCTGAAGTTAGTCAAGTCACTGATGAGCACCCTTCTCTTAACCCTTCTCCTGGTAGCCCCACTCCTCGCTGACTCCCCTTAGATGCATCTTGCTAACCAATATGCTGCTTTCAAGCTTCAGCCTCAAGAATCATTTCCAAACCCTAACCCTGAGCACCACACCACTACTCAGGGAGCACTCGCCTACCCTCTGTTGCCCCACAGTTTTCTAAGCACATCAACAGGCTTTATTATCCTTATTTGCATTCCTGTTAGCCTGACTGGACAGATGGCAAGCCTCTCAGCAAGCACTGACTGTCCTTGGCTGGCTCACCATAAGTTGTTTAGAAACCCAGGGTTTGGCCCTCCCTGGTGGTGTAGCAGGTTAAACCACAGCACTAAGAAGTTAAAGCCACTTCAGCATGAGTTCCATCCCAGGCCCCAGAGGAGATCCACATGGCACAGCAGATCCGCCCTCTGCTGACCCGCCCACTGCTCCCCTCAGCAGTGTACTTCCTCAGTCAGCCTGTTCTGCTCCCCACTTTGTTTCTGGTGAATCTTCTCATCACCCCTAAATCTCTAGCCTGTACCCCAGTTCTGAATGCATAAATAAAAAAATAATTAAAAAAAAACAACCCAGGATTCAGTTCCTAAGTTGTTTAGTGAAGGCTTTTTCCACTTTTGTTTGTCATCCTGTTTTCCTCAGCCATCCAATTGAAGTGCTACTAAAAGTGCAATTGGGGAAGAATAAAAGAAGGGTCTAATTACCTTCTGAGTTCTCAGGACTCTAGCAATGAACTGAACTGGATGAGCAGGGGAGAGTGGCGGGTGCCAGCAACTGCAGAAACCATCGGTGGTGGTTAATGCTATGGGTCATCTTGGCTAAGCATCCTTGTTATGGTGCCCAGATAGATCAAACACCAGTCTAGATTTGGCTGGGAAGGTACTTTCAGGTGTGATTAATATTTACAGTTAGTTTATTAAATAAAGGAAATGACCCTCCATAACATGGATATCCTGCATCTAAGCAGTTAAAGACTTCAGATTAAAAGCTTCCTGGAAAGGAATTCACTCTTTAGACAGTAAAATGGAAGTTCCACCTGAGTTTCCTGGGTATTGGCCTGCTTGACAAATATCAAAATTTCAGATTCAACATTGCCACTGTTGGATTTGCCAGTTTCCACAATCTCATGAGTTAGTTCCTTATAATAAATCACTTCTCTCTTAGGGAATGTGTTTCAATCCCAAGCTCACTTAAAAAATATAAAAATATATTTTTTGACTAATTCACAAAAAGTCTGAGTAAAGTAAATGAAATCTAGAACCTGACTTGATATATCTGTTGTTTTTTTCTCTGTATTATTATGAGCAATCCCCTAAAATTGGTAATAATTTGGAAACTACTGGTGTTGACTCTTAACCCAAAGAGCAATGACAAGTAGATAAGTAAAAACAAATTTTATTTTCAATGACATCTTCACAAAGTTAGTGGCTTCCATTTATTGATCACTTGTCTTATGCGGATACCTCTCAGAGCTGGAGGTGCTGATAGAGGAAGCATTTGTTATTCTGGAAGAGAATTCTCCTGCTATCATCTAGAGGACTGGGCCCAAACGAGAGGGCAAGAAGTGGATCCATGCTGTAGTAAAAACACTTACATGAAAAACAGCCCTATGGACGAGCACAATCCTTATGACTACTCTCACTTTACAGATGAGGAAACAGAACACAAGAGATTGAACAATTCACCCACGTTCACAACACCCTTGAGACCTGAGTGTGTTATACACTGGAGCCAGGCTGTCTGGCTTGCATCCTGGTGTCACCATTTATTTAACAGCAAGTCTGTTAACAAGTTAAGGTGTCTGCATCTCAGATTCCTCATCTGTAAAACAGGGATGATAAAGTACTTAACATAGAGGGATATTGAGAAGATCAAAGGAGATGATATATTTAAAGAGATATAAGTAATACCTGGAATTTACAAGGGGAAAAGGGCTCATTATTTTTAGTCCAAGTGCTTTCTACAATTCATGGTATATAGCAAATATCTTCTAAATATTCCCTTTTCTCAGAATAAATACAGTCCCACGAGGACCTTTAATTTCCCATCCTCCCACCCCACCTACACAGGTTAAACAAGGAAAAGCATTACTTATTGGAGAGCCTTGCACTGAAAGATCCAGAATGTTGCAGATGGAGGAAGAAGAGAGGATTGAATCCACAGATTTAATTTTCAAGATTAAAGTACAGGAATAGACTGATTCACTGAAGCTACATAAAATGAACCAGGTCTTCATTCTACTCTGACACCCACGGCCACCCCTTTAGTTCATTCTGGTTCCAAGGCACCAGTCATCTTTATTCTTTTGTATGCATCAATTCTACACTAGGAATAGAGTTTTTCTTTGTGCCTCAATTACTGTCTCAGTGACCCCAACTCCAAAACAAGTCACTTTTTAGCAGCTCTCAAGCTTACTGAACTCTGGACAGGATGTTTCAAAAATATGGGTTAATTATTCACGTTCATTCATAGAAATTTGATTTTTCTTTGTTAATTCAAAGTTGAATTTATCTGGGTCCAAGAAGTCTTCCTAAATTTGTTTATATTATCTGTCTTCTCACCAGACTCTGACTGTTCAAGGAAGAAAATATCATGTTATTCCACTTTGTATATACCCGTCATATAACATGGTACCTTCATGAATTCATGAATGAGTAACTCCGAATACTTGTTCAACCTCAAGAACATGTCTATGTGAATGGAAATAACCCAATTGATGCAAGAACTTCACAGCACAATGTTTAAGTGACATTACTATAACATTCCCATAATTTTGAAGGCAATTCACTGGTATCAAACTATGTTCAAAGAAAACAACTTTCCTTATCTAAACATTGGACTTGTCAAAATAAAACTACCTTATGTTGATGTCCTTATAGAGTAAATGATCTATGATTTATTTTAAATAAAATGAGCTGTTTGCCAAGGTCTGAATTGATAGCCATATATCCTTCAGGTCTAACAAATTTATGAATCAATTTCTATTGTCCCATAAAATAGCTTTTATGATGGTATGGATACTAGAGTACCTCAATAGCTAAAACTTTGGATAAAGCCATAAAGTCCAAAGAAATAACATTTTAAAGTAAGTTTTACAGATTTTCTATTACCACTGCAATTCCAGTACTTTAAATCCTTTCAATCTAAGACACTCTGAAAAAAAAGTCTTAAAATAGTTTTTCACTATTTATTCACAATGCACTACAATGTAAATTAAAGGATGAGATTACAACAAACCTAAAAAAGCAATTGAAATACGGCCTGTCTAAACAGTTCTTAATATTGTTGAAAGATTTATTTACTTATGCATACAGAACTGGGGTATAGGCCAAAAGTGCAGGGGCAGTGAGAGGATTCACCAGAGACAGAGTGGGGAGCAGAACAGGCTGACTGAC